AAAAAAAAAAAAAAAAAAAGGCAGGTGCCCCCAAGGCCTGGCTGTGGACTTTGAGCCAAATTCAGTCCCAGAAGGAAAAAAGCTGCCTACAGCCTGGTCTTGGTGGCATTTCTTTGGGCCCCTTCCCTCTCTCATTTCCTGTGTCTCAAGAGTAGTGTTCTCAGGTGAATGACCAGTGGAATGGCCCCTAGTCTGATACCCAGGGCTTTGGGGTCCCATCCGAGGCCTCTTCCTGTTTCTCATTGCACCGAGTCAGCCCATGGAAAGACCCCTAGGGCGGAGAAGCACTCCTACCACCCCGTGGTGGGGGACAGTGCTGTGCGGGCTGTACAGTGGCACGGGGGTGGGAGGGTGGTCAGGGAAGATTTTCCTTGAGTGAGCTGTGAGCGAGCTCTGGAGAAGGCGGAAAGTGTGTTTGTGCTCCAAGTGAGAGAGGGCATGTTAGTAGCTCCAGAAATGGAAAACCCTGAATTGTGTGTCAGGAGAGTTGGAAGGCCAGAGAGAAGATAGGAGAGGTAGAGAGGCAAGGGGCAGGGAGGGGGGCAGAATGTTTTGGCCTTTATTTGCTTATCATAAGGTCATCTGGAAGCTACTAATCAAGGAAGTGGCTGGATGGGATTTGCATTTTTAAAAGGTGGTTCTGACCAGATTGAGAGGCTGAATGAAAGAGGGGCAAGGCCAGAGGCTGGGGAGCCATTTTGAAGGCTTTAGGCAGTATTTCAAGCTGAGCTGAAAGTGGTGTTAAAAAGTTAAGCATTGGGCCTGAGAGTGCGGGCTGAGCCAGGTTACCAAACCAGGGCTTAGTGCCTAACCTAACTGCAGTTTCAACCTCCCCAGAAATTTTCTGGCCGGCACCAGTGAGGTAATATGTCACGTGAGTCCTTTCCATTCCTCTCACCCAAAAAGGCAAGGTAATCTGCAGGATGAGACCCTCTGCTTTCCCCCTAAGGGAGGATGACTGGGCCTGAAACAGTCCCTTCTTTTCTTTTGCTAATAAGTGTTTGCAGCACCCTCCCATCTAGAAAAATTTCATACAACTACTTGCTCGAGGGGATACTACCCTATTTGTGAATGGCTTAATAAAACCAATTAGGTCTTCAAATTTACTTGGTTGAATTTAGTTTTCTGACAGTGCTTAATGCTAGGGTAATGTTGGAGAGCAGAGTAGACTGGCGAAAAGCCTTGTATTTGGGAGGTGGAATCATGAGAGCTTGATTGGCCAGGAGGGAGATGCCCAGGGTTCATTGTGACTGGTGATACCAGAAGAGAGGCTGGTTTAACCAGAGACATTCATTCACCCTGGAGGCTCTGGAGGGTCCCTGTGCTGTGTCCTGGGCTTGGTGAAAACACGACTGGCCCACCTCGGGAGCCCTCCCATGAGAAGGGGAGAGAGACATTATACTCAGTGGGCTGTGGTGTTATACCCGAAGAGTTAATCTCATCTCAGGGGTCCTGGAATGCCTGTCTGAGGAAATGGCATGTCTGTTACATAGTGGACTGTCAATTTTGCTGGGGAAAATTCAGGCTGAGGTCTGAAGGTTGAATGGTTGTTAGCTGGGAAAGAAGAAAGAACTCGCAGCAAGGAAAGGGCCGTGGTCAAGGCAAAGACTCTTCAAGGATCTGGAAGAGGCCCCCTGGTGGCTGGGGAGGCAACAGCCAGGATAGAAAGGGCAGAGGGGACAGCCCAGTGTCAGGAGTTCTGTGGCTGTCCAAGTGCAAGGCCCCCAGGAGCTGATGTACTGGTCCACCGCTCAGGTCCTGGGCCGCACACAGACCTGGGAGTCGCAGCCTAGGGGGGGCACCCGAAGCCATGGGAGGGCTCCCGGCCCTCCTAGAGCAGGCATTGGTGAGGACGGATGCTGAGGAATGTTAGTATTTTAGAGGTGATAAGAGGAAGAGGAGCCCACAGGGGAAGTGGGGTCCGGAGAGGTAGGAGAAAATCCATGGGGATTTGAGGAGGGTATGGCCAAAGGGCTAAGAGCTGCTAAGGAGGGTCTGTTGGATTTAGCAGTGAGGAAGCCTTGGTGACCTGGGAAAGAACAGTGTCAGCAAGGAGCTGGGGTGAAAGACCTGATCGTACTGCTTGGAAGTGAGCAGTGAGAAAAGACAGGGACAGCACAGCTATTGTCTACCGAGTTTGTCTACCGAGTTTGGCCAGGGAGAAAGAACATGTTGTCACTGGAGGGACAGAGGTGGAGAGGGATGCTGTACATCAAGAGCCAGGAGACCCGGGGGGCTTTTCTGCTGGTTTGGGGGTAACACTGGCCTCCAGAATGGGGAAAGCAAAGTCAGGTGTGGTCCCATTGGGCCCTGGACCACCCCCTATCCCCACTCCTGTCTGGAAGCCTGTCTGATGCCCAAGGAAGTTTTCCTTGG